CTCTCCCCCCCCTCTCTCTCTCTCTCTCTCTCTCTCTCTCTCTCTCTCTCTCTCTCTCTCTCTCTCTCTCTCTCTCTCTCTCTCTCTCTCTAATAACCTTAGAGTTGGAGTGGTTTATTAAATAACATTTTAATGTCTATCCAAGTAAACCAGTTGATTAAGTAAAACGTTTAGGGACCAATGTAGGGCTACTTTTGTGAACAGCTTATACTTTTTCTTTTCTAGATTTGACTATTTGCAAGTCTATACAAGCGGCACAGCCTCTTTCAAAGTAAAAAACAAGTGCACTCAAAGTTATTAAGAACAACGATGCTCCATTAGTCCCCAGAAAGACTCAACATCACAGCTCATTGAACATCTGCATTGGCTGCCACTGCAAAAGAGAATCGCATAATGATATTATAAAACACCACCTGATTATCTAAAAGAATTGCTGACATGTCATATAATATTATTTATTTCCGTTGCGCCAAAAGCACATTGTCACTTTATTCCAAGTCATCCGCTAAAAATTCTTACCCAAAACCCTTACGTATACCTGTAATTTGAATACTACAAAGCCCACTGAACAGAGATAAGCGTAATTCCTATACGGGGGACTTACGTAGAACAAACAGACCTGTTATTAGTTCCTGTCCTTATCAAATTTCGATTGTTTCTTCGACACTCGAGTTCCGGGTTTTTATCTACACTGCACTCTAGGCTGAAGAATCAGTCTTGTCCGAAAGTGGAAGTGACGCACATGCTGATTCACAGGCTTTTCGTTATAAGACTGTTATCTAGTAGGCGATAGTCTACCCAACTACTGTGGGTGATATTTTGATGACACTCACACACAAAGCTTTGAACTCTTGTTCTGAAACACTTACATGCGCACTCACACGCACACAGGCTCGCGCGCACATACACACAAACACATACACACACGCACACACACACGCTAGCGCGCGCGCACACACACACAATCATACGTACAAACCACAAATAGATAGATAGATAGATAGATAGATAGATAGATAGATAGATAGATAGATAGATAGATAGATAGATAGAAGAACAGACATACGGAAAACACACTTAAAACACACTCATTAACACTCATAATATACAAGCCAGTGCTTCTCTCTTTCTAATCTTTAACGATTCATTTACAATGCGTCAAAAGTCAGACTACCAGTTGCCCAAAGAGTTCATTTTTCGCCTATATTCAAAGCAATATTATACATGTATCCTGGTTTGGGGGTTGAGGGGG